CTGATGCAGGGATTGCGTGGAATCACAATTCTTCATGAGAAAATGTATATGTATTTTCTACATATTAGTAGACTCCAAAATCGACTAAATAAGCCTTTTAAAACCCCTAAATTGGTATATTTTTCGGGGGCTTCGCCCCCTGGAACACTTTCGTGAGATATTGGGCGACGCCCGACCACGCCCACTTGTTTTGTCGGGGACAACGGTCCCCACGTCGGGCAGATCCTGGCGCCACCACTGGGCTGGTGGGAGGATTGAAGGTGAAGTGGGGATCGATAGTTAGGTGAGGGGACACTAGCTTTCAAAATAAGGTGATTTGAGGTGACTTTTAACTACGCGAGTGGGGTCCACCGCCATCCCCGCGCAATCCCAGACACGCCAATGTCTTCAATTAATGTATACATGCTAAAATTAATGACAAAGCAACGGGAGGTGCATTTTGATCCCAAGTGCCATATCTGAATACATGGATGGCCACTTTCTATAAATTTTGTGTCACTCATATACTAGTACTCTGATCTGATGTTTCATGGTAGAATGTTTATCATTTCCTCAAATGGCTGGGAGGTAAGGTGATGATATAATATACATCACATAGGGCAGCAACATTCCTTATACATTTTAGGAAACTTTTACATTACTCAAATAGGTCTATATTACAGAACTGGGCCTGAATGTTACCTGTGATGCCATATGTTATGACACACATAGTCACACTTATTATTTAATAGTTGCATTTGCAAACGCGATGGTAATTTGACACTTGTGTTTAGGAAATATGAAACATCAGTTTTAATGTTGCTCACGACCTGACCTGAGTTGCACTCATGTGCATCGGCGATCAGCGAGCGCGTACATGGTATGCAAATGTAATACGGATTGCAAGTCAACCTTGGTACGGAAAACTCAGGATGTTTGCATTTGTGTTCAGCAAGGAGAACTTCGGAATCGAAGTGATTGTCGCCTTCCGGGCTTTGCGTGAGCCTCGGGCTAATATGAACTTCGAGTGGTTCATATTGAAATGCTAATCCTACTGAGACCTCTGACTAAAACCTGTCTCCGCTGCCTTTCCTCCCAAATCGCTTCATTCACGTACGAACTGTGAACCAAACAATCGAACGTTTCATGTATGTCGCTGTTTGCAAGTGTTGTACATTTCAGTGAGTCTTCCCGTGAAATCTGTGGCTTCGATCGGAAACAATGAATACCGAAGAATTGTTCATCATTGCATGGTCTTGACCTAGAAGTATGAACCTAATGCCGAATGTGTATATTGAACTTTAACTATTTATTAGTAAATAGTACGGTAACACAGTGGTTGCACATAGCGACTATGGAGAAAGGGGTGAACTCCTTATGAAATGGAGGAACTCATTCACTTTTACTGCTTTCTAATTGTTCATTTTTATTTGATGGGTATGGAAAAGCAAACTATTTTTGGAGACGAAAAACATTGACAAGTAAATTGTTGATGAGTTTTCCATAAACTCGTCGAATATTGTGCAACGCTCATTATGAGACAGTGTCTGAAAGAACATTCTTGCTTCAGAATTCAACGTCTGATTCTGAAACACTCATTCTTGGGTTATCATCTGTTCTGTCATTCAGTAATGTTCAGTTCGTAATTTTTAATTTTGTTTGTTGAGGTGGTTGTTAGGGCCATTATTTCCCAAGCATTTTCCCCATCATTTTCACGGGAGTAGAAAACAAGCTAAGTGCTCTTGTGAATGTATATTGTTTGTGTTAACAAAGTTTCAAGTTAGTCTCATCGTTATAACGTGGAAACTCATGTACTGTACTTTAGGCTGTAGCGTGATGATTACTTTCCGCTTCATCCTAGGGTTGGAGGTTCCAATCGTGCAACTGTCAAGATACATTTTTTTCTCACGACTGAAAATACTCTCACTTCCGAAGTCTCATAACGAGACTTGGTTTATATTACAGAAAAAAACTGTTGTCTGTCCATCCTGCAGTTGGCCCTTGTCCATTAAAATGGAATTAATCACTATAACATGAGTTAAGTTCTAAGTGACACAAGATAAAAAAAAAAGTGGATGAAAAATATGCCACAAACTTCCCGGGACCCTGCTTATTCGCTCTGACTGCACCCTGCTTATTTGCACTGAATGCGTCTTATTCAAGTCATGCAGAAATAATCTATTATTCGTATTTGTGTAAGGTTTCACAAAAAGTATTTATTTTCTTCCAATTTTTAACAAAAAAGTTCTTATCTTACCCTAAACCTCCATACTACCATATCTAACTCTTTCAAGCACATACCTCTCCATAAAATATCCCCGATGAAAACTCGAACAGTGCAAGTGAAAGACCGGCATAGGCCTAGTGTTAGATATAAAATATAAAACTCAACATTTTATTGCACTACAAACTGTTTCACAAGGAGGGTTTTTGCAACCATCAAATTCTAGGCTCTGAATGAAGCCTAATTGGAATAATATCAGTAATACATAGGCCTAATTAATCACTGAGGGGCAAAAATGTATTATTGATATAGGCCTATCCCAAATAGACTTCATTCAGAGCCTACACCTGATGATTGAGGATTGATTGAGGATTCATGAAACAGTCCTAATGCAATTATGAAATATTTAAAATAAACCAATTTTTTTAACAACTGGTTTATTTAAAAAAAAAATCGTCTTCCACCAATAACATATTGAAACCAGGTGAAATTAATAAATAAGATATCGAATATTTAACATAGTGTCATTTGATTGGAGAAGGGAGAGAGAGATTAGTGGTCGTAGGTCTGTAATATCGTACGGGCAGCTGTGGTCTACATGGTATGACGCTCGCCGAGCTAGCGAAAGATTGCGGGCTCGATTCCCACCAGAGACCTTTTTTTCATACAACTATTAGTAGGAAACTTTCGTTGATGAACTGTTTGATACGATTTTTTGACAATGTGTTACTATCTACTTGATTTATATTATTATTATTATTATTATTATTATTATTATTATTATTATTATTATTATTATTATTATATATATATATATATATATATATATATAATAATGATAGTGTAGTTTTATATATATCAGTGAGATAGTGTGCAGTGCAGGGTATGTTGCAATAGGCCCATTTAAAGAACCAAAAATAGAACGACAGAGAAGCACATCATTATTTGTGATTCAAATCCGGAATTTGCAGTAGGGTACACTAACAGACAAATAAGGAAACACCTCTTTACAGGTTTTTGACTGGAAACGCTTCCTACTACACATGCAGTACAATAGTGTCGGTGGCTGAGATAAAAGCAAATCTAGGTTTTAGTTCATTAGGTAAAACCATAAAGGAAGCTTTCACTTTTACAATTTTTTGTAAAATGATTCCATAATATTGATAATAATTTTAATAACAACAACAAACATAATAATAATACTAACTCAAATAGTCAAGTTTACTACAGATTAGGGAACAGTGAAATTACACTGTACACTAACAGACAAATAAGGAAACACCTCTTTGCAGGTTTTTGACTGGAAACGCTTCCTACTACACATGCAGTACAATAGTGTCGGTGGCTGAGATAAAAGCAAATCTAGGTTTTAGTTCATTAGGTAAAACCATAAAGGAAGCTTTCACTTTTACAATTTTTTGTAAAATGATTCCATAATATTGATAATAATTTTAATAACAACAACAAACATAATAATAATACTAACTCAAATAGTCAAGTTTACTACAGATTAGGGAACAGTGAAATTACACTGTAATTTCATTGTTCCCTGCTACAGATGATCATCGCTCCTATATGAAATACATTGTCAGTGGTAGTTCCAGAAATTGACACAAGTACATTTTCTATAGATGACAACCTCCTATTTAACGCCGTAAAACCCAGCTCTTAGATTTGTCATGGTCTTTATATAGTATTAAGATGTTTGTCGCTGCTTTTTCTTGCAACTGCATTTATTCTTCCACAAATTATGTTGATGTATCTTGTTTAAGGACCAGTGGTTAGATTTTTTTATTTCCGAATTTCCTTTTACGTTGGTGGACGGACTGCATGCTGGTTCGACTTTAATATATAATAATAATAATAAAAAATAATGAAAATTTTGATAGTAATGATAATTAAAGGGGGCCAAAAGTAGGGCCGATCGAGATAACACCACTCTAGGGGGTTTCCGGAGGAATGCCAACGCGATTGTTTTGTTCTAGGCGCTCGAATATAAACCTCTGAGGATTTTTGGATCACTTTTCTTTCTTTTAATTCTCTTCTTTCCCCCCCCCCCCTTTTTTTTTTTGACTTTCCAAAAGGGGATGACGGGGCCGGCACGACTACCCTAAATCCGCCCCTGATCGTGATATTTCTAACGATAATCATATAAATAATAATAATAATAATAATAATAATAATAATAATAATAATAATACATAACAATATAGAAATAAAACAATGTTCTAACAAGTGATAATATTGCTAACGATAATGTTAATAATAGTAATAATTATGATGATGATGACTATGATGACGATAATAATTAGTACCCTACTGATAATCAAAATGATAATGATAATAATAATAATAATAATAATAATAATACCAAAATATAGAAATAAAACGATGTGTGTGATGTCATGAAAGCTCGGCCTACGAACATTTTGTTTATAGCATCAATGCATTCGTGGCTTCATCACTTCTTTACTCTAGAAATCCGAGCTGTAAGGAAAAGAAGTTTATTTGGAGAAATTAATGGAAATTACATGGATTAAGACCAACATGCTTAGCATGTATTATGCGTCAAGTGTCATTACTACACTACATCGTATCGTCCACAGTCCAGCTCACCTCGAGCAAATCTACTAATTATTAAACAGAAAGTAGGCCTATCTAATTTAGGAGATCATAATCATATTATCATAATGATATAGTTCTATGATTCAATTTTGAGTAATTTGTTTAAGGCTAGGGCGGTGTCGCAAATCAAAAGAATGATTTATGAGGTTAATGAGACACTCGGTTGTCCCCAATGGCGACTGAATTTGTCGAATTTGATGAGGTAAAAAGGTTGCAGCATAAATTATTTTAAACTTGCAAGGCGTCCCATTTGAATCAGATAGTTCTCTGGTCAATTCATAAAAATTAAATTGTAAACGATGTTAAAATCCAACTCAACTTAAATGTAATATGTTGCTTACGTAGATTTATCGTTGTGACGCACCGTGTCCATATGGTCCAAATTATATGACTATGTAGCCTATGTTTGTTTTGACCTAACCTATCTTAATATCGTTTACTCTATCAATTTGGATACAAGTTTCACACACGGTAATAATGCTGAAATAAATAATTTACGATATTTTTAGCTGTTGCTTATCAAATTTGTATCTCTACCGAGATCTAGACCTATA